ATTCAACGAACTGACTGTGTGAAAATCGCTCAGTGAAAAGTCGCCATTTTGAACTTGAACTGAATATGTCACTGGAGCCATAGAGATTATAAATAACACTAGAGGAGGCATCGCAATCTTGACATCAGGCAAAAAAAAGGAATGCGGCTATTGGGTGGGCAAATCCAAGTCCCGGATGTGCACTCGTATTCCTATTGGTGAGGAGTTTCAATTTAGCCAATGAGAGCATGATTTTATATCTGGGACCTAAATTTGCCCCCCATTAGCCGCGTTCCCAAATTTTAACCTCGATACCTCCTCTATAAGTGTTACTTATAATCTCTATGACTGGAGCACTCTATCCTTGGAGTTCGGAATTGTGCGCGTGCGTACTACTGTACAAGTGTATGGGCTAATTAACGAAAAATGTACCACAAGCATGGCATGAGCCGGCTATTACGTACATAAATACGAGCTTGTTACTATTGGCCAGGTGATCTTGATACGCAGAAAAGTACTGGCACTAGTTGTCAAATAGAAATCCATTTTATGATTAAAACAACTGAATATCTCCTGTAATATACTTTATTTCGATTCCATATTTTTGTCAGAGCTATAGTTCTCATAACCAAACATAATTAAAAAATTTCAACTAGTTTCATAAAGAATAACGAAAGATATAATTGACTGAATACATCAAAATGGATTTCTATTCGGACAACCCTTTCTGAGCGCTGATTGGCTAAAATACGAACACGAGATCACCTGGATAGTATTTAAATTATGGAACCAAGGAATCGATGGCTTAATCGTTGCACCCTGAGCCTGCGATGAACTAACGAAAAAACCCAGAAAACTATGAGGGATTTAAGACACTTGGCCTATATTGGCAGCAAACTATATTGGCAACAGAGGCGTTAAATTTTCTAAACTAAAGAAAGTAAAGCGGCATTTTACAAGAACGGCAAACAACATTTTTTAGAATGTAATTATTATTGTAATAGTTCAATGTTTTCGCAAACACTCGTCTTTTTATGTCCATGCAGGAAAGAATCGCCGTCGCTTATCTATACATCTTCCATGTCTTTGCCGCATTGTAGACACAACGTGTCATGGAATTGGAGAAAGATCGTCTTGAAACCGTTAAATAAAATACAGTCATAGTCCATAGAAAGAAGTATAAATCTACCATAAATTTATACGGCATTTTTATATTAGTCTAAATTGATAGCATTTTGTTCAACCGCTTATGTTATTAACAGTTGTTGTCATTAGAAATTACTGAGTTTTCAAATTTGAGCGGACATCTACGATCGAAAAGTCAAAGGAAAGTCTATTTACAAATTGAGCTGAAATCGACAACTTTTGTGAAAGAGGGCCCTGAAGGGGTAAAATGGGAACTGGGATTGATCTATTTTAGACTGGGAAAGTGGGATTTGGGTTGCTGGGACTGGGATTTGGCCACTGGGAATGGGAAATGAAGTCCTCAAAAATGGGAATGGGATTGAGGTAAGGGGCGGACCATTAGAAATCCCGGGAGGGGGGGTGAAAATTCCCCCAAAAAAATTCGTGCAAAGGAAAATGTCTGGAAAAAAAATTCGTGCAGCCATTACGTCAGAGAAAAAAAATTCGTGCAAGCAAACAGAGAAGTACAAATAGTCTTGAAAAAAAATTCGTGCAGAGGTTAAATGCATTAAAAAAAATTCCTGCAGAGACACGAGACGGAAAAAAAAATTCGTGCTGCAAAGATTTTATACCCCCCCCCCCCCCCCC